CCCACCATTCATAAACTTCGTCGGGTCGCCGATGGGCGCTATTCCGAAAAAGCGCTCCGTACCAGTACGCTGGAGAATAATCAACGATCTTTCTTKGCCGCCGGGCCAAAGCATTAACGATAATATTCCAAAKGAACTTTTCACATGTCGCTATGACACGTTAGATGGCGCAATCAAACATCTCAAATCATATGGAGTTGGTGCTCTWATGAGCAAACTGGACTTGACTGACGCCTTTCGGCATATTTTAGTATCGAAGGACGACTGGGAACTACTCGGATMGACATGGCCAATTGTTGTCAACGGTAAAGAAACGACGGGATACTTTATTGATACATTTTTACCTTTCGGCTCGGAGTTCTCCCGCCTTGTTTCTAAAATACGCTGATACCCTGCCCTACATTATGTTGAAACACGGGACGCTTCCGGTATGGCACTACTTAGATGATTTCTGGACTTGCGGACCTCCTGCACCGAACAATGGTTGTGAGACCAATCTCGACCTAATGTTATACACTTGCTCTGAACTGGGTTTTGACGTAAACCCACAAAAAACCGTAACTCCTTGCACACGCTTGGAGCTTTTAGGAATTGAACGGTACAGTGTCACTCAAGAGGCACGAATTACCGAGTCACGCTTACAGGAAACGCTTGACCTACTATCTACATGGTCCGTACGCAAATCGTGTAGWAAACGTCAATTGCAATCTCTACTAGGAAAATTGAATTTTATTTGCTCTGTGTGTCGTCCTGGCCGAACCTTTCTGCGGAGGATGATTGATTTATCAAAGAAAGCTCGTTATCCTACTCATCGTATACGATTAAATACTAGTTTTTTCAAAGATCTCAACTGGTGGAGACTATTTCTACGCGACTGGAATGGATGTACGTCTTTTGGTGAAGATAGTTGGACCACTAATTCATGTTTACACTATACACTCATGCGTGTTCAACGTCATTTGGGGCACTATATGGCAATCTCTGGCTTGCCGAAAAGTTTAGCTCGGTTGGTGTTGCKGGCCGACGTTCCATTACGTACAAAGAACTGTATGCTATCACGATGGCCGTCACCGTGTGAGCGTATTTCCTCCTTCAAAGCCATAACTTAATATTTCATTGGGATAATCAAGCCGTGGTCACCATGCTTAACTCCGGGAGCAGTCGCTGTCCCCGTATCATGACTCTCATGCGTTATCTCTTCCATGTGCGCGCGCGTAATAATATACTTATCAAGTCTGAACATATACCTGGCCTATCTAATTCTGCCGCTGATGCTTTATCCCGTCTACAGGTAAAAAAGTTCAAAGACCTARTGCCGACAGCTCAACCTCTACCGACTCCAGCAATCCCGTTGGAGTTACACGCCTTCAAATGAGAGCCGACTACTATTTTCACAAAGGTCTTGCCTTTGTACCTATTCTTCAGCTCAACGTAGCTTTTTGGACTTCTTCTTGCAGCGGTTCGTGCTCTTCACATAAAAAATGGTCACATAAATCCTTACACTAACACTATAAAGCTACAGCAAACTTTGCGTGGTATTCAGAGGGAACATTTTACACCAACKAAACAAAAGCTGCCAATCACCTTTGACATTTTTCGGGGGTGGAAGGGGAATATTGAATATTGAATATCGTACTTGAAAGTCTTTGGAATATTGAATATTTACCTGAAAAATGTACGTAATACGGAATATTTGTAATAACACACACAAAAGCCAGAATAGGGAATATTTACTCATCCAGCTAGTTAAAAAAAAATTAGCAAAGTTAAAACAGAATACCAGACTCCTCAATATCGATCCTCCGAGTCAATTAGCTTCAATTCGGGCTTCCTGTGGTTCGGATTCCTGATCATGCAGCGGCTCTACCGCTGCCCTTGCTCATTCAAGAGTCTATCTTTCGAAAGCACGTTTTTCTAAAGTCAAGGGTCATTCGATAGTATCTTAAAGTTTTTTAAAAAGCAATGGGGAAGCACAAGAAAGAAAGAAAACGGGAGAGATCCAGGGAGAGAGAGCGGGGAAGGGAAAAGAAGAAGCATCGTCACAGTTCTGAACGTAAAAAACGTAGTATCGAATTGAAACAACGTGAGAGGTAAGCTTGCCTGTTCCTTTTCAGTGATTTGATCGTTTTAATATCCTTAAGTTATTAAATAAGCTTACAACATGGCCTTGTAAATATGGGGTCATCGTTGATTGTATGCGACACTGGAAACAATTCTGTCAGAGTTATTTCCAACGGACAGCCTTTCAAGGAACTTTCAGCTGTTATATATCCGTACGCTCAGCTTTTCAACCTTGATCACGATCGTGGAATTCCTAGGAAGACTTTTACAGAGTCATTCCAAATAGTCGACAAGCTTGTACAGTTTCTGTTAACTTGGATAATGCAAACACAAGGAAGAACTGGTCGCGTTTCAACTCAGGGACCTGATCAGATAATCCCGTATTGCACAAGGAAATCATTCCTGATGATGCATGAGACCCTTGTTAAACTCGAAAACTTGTTGAATGAAGTTGGTGCTTCTGAACTGGTCTCTCAAGTTCGCCTGACGGCAATGGTTACCCTTATAGTGGAAAACTTTTTCTCTTTGATGAGAAAAGACGACCTTATGCCTGCCCAACTGGAATATGGGACAAGACGAGCTACCTGTGTGAGAGAGTTCCAGAAGTGCATGTACAATGGTGACTTCCATTATTACACGGGTCCAAAGAGCTATTACACTGGCAAGGTTATCAACTGCAGACGTTGGATCACCAAATGGAGCAGTTGACGATAGAAGACAAACAGGAACTGCGCGAGTTTTCTTCGACATTTGGCGCGAGTGTAAGGCAACATACTGTGCGTGATAAGAGYAAGGAAGAAACAGGTTGTTTACCGTATGYAGTATCTTTAGATCTACAGCGAAGAGAGCCTGGATCCACGGTGTCTTTCCTTGCTGAGTCAGCGTCGAGCGAGGCAACGGACCAGCCACTGTCGAGCGCACTGCAGCAATATGAAGTTCTATTTGCGACTCGTGATGTTGTGGCCGCGAAGCATGCAAGACGGAGGGAACAGTTCGCTTTTTTTCTTGCCTTGGTTATGAAAGATCTTCTAGTGAAAAGTAAGTCAGCAAGAGAGTTGGAATTTGCTAAAGAAACGGTGGATTTTCTTTGGCTGGATAACAGCAATCCAGACAATAGTCTTGTCTTTCAAGAAGCGTATAGAGACAACAAGAACTCCCCATACTCCATTATCGATAAGGTTGACATCGATACCAGCACAGACGACTCTGGTGTTACTGTACGAGCTTCCACAGAGTGAAGTGGACCGCATCGAACGGAATTTGCAGGGAGGATCAGATAGTGACATTGACAGTGACAATGATTCCACATCTGAAGAAGAAGGTGATAGACCTCCGCGCGAATGCTACAGTACCAGGACTGGTAGAGCAGCAACGAGACTGAGGCTTAGCTAGTTTCATTAGGTAAGCCCGTTTCAATAAGTGGATGATAGTTATATATTCATGTTATTTCTTATTTCAGTATGTATTTATTTTTAGCAGGTATGATATCAATAATTTACCAACTAAATAAAATGTAGATGTGTAGATCATTTTGGATCAAGACGCCAGGTTGCATGCGATGGTTGTAGAATCACACAAACGTAGCGTTAGTGAAATATTTGCAGTGTCGGTTATAAACCAATCTACGTCAGATACGAAACTCTACTGTTTAGTTTACATATCATTTTTCCATCTTTGACTCATTTGTGTAGTCTATGAATTAATCAGTAAATGACTGAAATCACATATAGTCGCTATAAATAGCCGTAATGTGTTTTATCAATTTACTTGACAGGGAAAAAACGCCGCCTCGGTAATGAATACTTACTTTAAAATGCTTTGATATAATTTAAAGCAAAAATGTCAATGACAGAAATAAGCATAACCCGTTGTAATGCATTATAATAAATTAGAAATAGACGCGCACAAAGATAAAAGAGGCAGTTGTACAATTATTTCTGTCAAGTAYTTTTCTAATTGGAGCATTTTCTATTTAAAACCTTTTTATGCATTTGGTCACTGAGATGTTTATCAGTAAACATGGCAAATGTAAATAAGTTAAGGAAACATAAAATATTAGTTTCAAATTTTAGCTAACAACGGGAAATAGACAAAAACTTAACGGTAACTAAAAAAAGGATTCCGAGATAAACATTTAGTACAAGAGAAACACAAGCAAATTATAAATAATAATAAGATATATAACAATTCATGTCGGGATAGATAATCCAGTAAAGGCATTATATAAATATAAATAAAGGCATTAAATAAATCACCCGCAACATCGAAATTAAAAAATAATAATAAAAATAATAAAAATAACAATAACAATTAAGCATATCCTGAAAAAAAGGAATTTACTGCTTGATTAACTAATTTGTTTTAGCCTGAAACACGTTTGGCCTTGACTATAATTTACAGCAGGTTACTAGCGAAAAAAACTAGGTTTCTGTGCCAGCTATCAACATTCATGAAGCCAAATGTGGTTTTTAGATGAGATAAAAATGGCAATTAGACCAATGCTCAAGTTCCTGCAATTCAGACACTTAACTCTAATGGGAAATACAACATCTAAGATCGTTTTATCGGAGACATTGGTAAGTCTATAGTGAGCCTCAAAACAACGCTATATTGTCTCTTCTTTWAATCATTACTAATTAACGATAAATTTTGTTGGCGGGCAGAATTCTTATTTTTGTATCAAGAAATCAATTTTTCATGTAACAAAAGTCAAAATGAAATTTTCTTACCAGACGGGCTTATTTAATAATGACACTATAAAGAAATTAATTATAAATGTAGTTTATRAAAGGTCCGCTTTGAAGGATATCACTGAAATATAACTACTGTAAGCCCGACAGTGYTTCCGTAAATTTATRCAGTTTGTACTTTTGCGACCACATGGATGGAGCTTTAAAAGATGAGCTTCCACTCGAATTCTAGGTTGTGATGTCATCACCGCAAGGTGTGTTATAAAAACACAGACACGTTATTTTTATTATTCATTGTTGATTGCGAAGTCACTGTTGGGGATCTCAGAAAATATCACACCAGCGCTTATCACTCCTTATTTGAACGCAACACATTCATGGCTCGTGAGCTGTTTTAACGATCTCAAGTATATACAATGAACAATGGAAAGACCGAGAGTTATGGCCACGAGCACCGGAACTACTCTAGCTGCTAACATTACAAAAATGTCSACCAATACAGCTAACAAGCAAGTCTCTAGTGGTGGTTTCGAATCAACAAAGATCACATTTTACTTTGTCATCTTATTTTGCAGTACGTTTGGGAACGGAATGCTGGTCTATATTATTAGTTCGACAAGAAAAATGAGAACCGCTACGAACTACCTCATTCTTAACCTTGCGATTTGCGACTTTTTAACTCCTATTCTAAGTATTCCATTTGACTTTGCTTTGGAGGAAAACAACCATCAATGGATGTACGGGGTATTTATGTGCAAGTTTCTTTCTCCTGCCGCCACCTTTACAGTTACATCGTCTGCTTTGAATCTTGCTATAATATCACTTGATAGATACAGAAATATCATGCATCCTTACAAACCTCGATTGACATCCAARCAAATTACTTGTTCTATTTGCGGACTATACTGTGTTTCGGCTCTGTGCGTGGCACCTTACATCTACGTTCTGCGTCTTAAGGGTGAGAGTTGTCTGGAGGTCTGGGGACATTTTCTCTATCGGCAAATTTATACTTTATTCTTGTTCCTGGTACAATACGCTTTGCCTTTAGTTTTTATGGCAGTAATGTACAGCCTTGCGTTATTCCATTTGTATCACTCTTCAGGGAGGACCCAAAAAATGCGCTTACAAAAAAAACAGCATGAGTTCAAACGGTCCGACGGTTGTATTGAAGGAACATGTGAAAAACCTCGACCTTTATTGCGTTCGCTTAGCATTCGCTCTACTTCGATATTACGTGCTCATACCAAAGCTAACAAGCGGGCAACAAAGATGTTTTTGACAGTGGTTACTGTATTCACCATTTTTATGCTTCCCAATCAAGTTGTTTGGCTTTGGTCGGATTTCGGTGGAGGTCTACAAAGTAACTCTTTTAACAAAACGGTTATAATATGCTGGCTTTTCACTTACGCAAACTGCGTCAGCAATCCTATTATTTTTGCTGTTTTTAGCAATGACTTTCGCTATGGATTTCTTAAAGTATTTCACAGGTCTTCATACAAAAACTATTTTGATTCCAATAGCGTAATYGAGAGAAGAAATTCCGCCGCAATCCGAATAAAAGATAACGATAATAATACTGGAGTAACTCATGTCACAGACCTTTCAGATAGGACAGCTGTAAAACCACCTAAAAGATATTTCAAACGTACCACCTACTGCTAGTCAAACACTTTTCAATTTTCTCCATAGGAAATTTATACTTTTTGAATTAATGCGTTAAATATAGAATTTGATGTACATATTTAAAAAAATGAAAACAAAACGAAACGGTGACGAAACGGTATAATCAGCAGTCAGTTGTTGATAATAATGTTATCATAAACATCCTGTTTATAAATTGCATCGTTATTATAGGTCTAAAGTTTTAATATTTGCAAGGGTCACTGGGAGATCAATGGCATTGTTGGTAGACTGCCTTTGCTACATACCTGTGGCTGCCGAGGATATCAGAAATATACTAAATAGAAATATWCAATGTATCGGTAATAGAGTTTTGAAATATCAGAAGTAATGYTTATAGATTTAATGACAGCATATGGAAATTGTATATATATCATTTCCCCTTGACAAATTCACCATGATAAATTATTCAAATACAGGGTTTTGCATTTAAAATGAAGATATCAAGTCTTTTGAAATATGATGGTTTTGAACTCACACAACTGAGCAATTGTTTTTAAAAAATCATAACACATAATTGAAGATGTTCTTTAAAGACGTACATGGAAATCCGTTGGAAAGGGACTTTAAGAAGGTAATCTGCAAATAATTTGTACAAATTCTTGTTGCTGCGAGCGAAGCGAGTATTCTTATATTCGGAACACCTTGTAACATCTGTAATTTTCAGGTATCATTGTCAAAACATATAATTCACAAGCCAGGAGGGATTCAATTGCATACTATATCGATAGTCGATAAAGCCAGAGATAAAACGAAAAACATACAACTTCGCGAACAACTTCGCCATTCTAGAAGYGTTAAAAAWTAACGGCTATATCTGTCCTAAATCGTCCTACCCTAGTTCCAAAGGCTAGGGGATTTTCCTTACTAAGTTGTAAAGCCGTTTTCCTTAATCGGTTTGTTTTTAYGYCAAGACTYTGGTATCAAGCGAAAGCAATCACACTTTCATGATATATTTTAGCTGTCAAAAAGGTCAAATAAAGGAAATAATAAGAGCTCATCACAGATATTAGATCATATTACTCCGATCTTATTTTGAAAATTGAACGTTAGTCCTCACAGAAGCACTTGTGCCGACATCCATTCTTTATAGTCTGGTATGCSTGTGCAAGAGACCAGTGCAAAATACAAAAATACAGTCTAGGACTGCATGTGACTAGTGCTAGCTAGCAAAATAGACATCTAAGAAAATATTAGTTTTATTTGCTTTTAGAAAAGAAATTTATGTAAGCCAAAAATATTAGTTAAAAACAATAAAGTTTTTTTGTAAAAGGCTTTAAAACTCAAAACCTTGAACATAAAGTAGTAAAAGAAGCTAAATCATTGAGTTGATATGTTTTTGCATAAAAAGTTTTATTTATTTTTTTGTCGAAAATCAGGTTCGTTTGTCTTATTTAAAAGGCGAAARAATATTGTCAAAAAATAATGGGATCTCTGTGGCAAGGAATAAAGTCAATATCGCATGCGCCACGTTTCGATTGCGTAGCCAATCGGAGAACAATGCGTCCGCCATCTTGAAAAGTGGTACTCAAATCACTAAATTATAACTCCTAAAGAAATTAAAAAGTTAATGTAAATTTATTATAGTATACGTTATGATGATAGATTAGTTGACTAAGCAACTATGAAATTTGTTCTTAGRCAAAACAGTGATTCAGGGCCCACTTTTCAAGATGGCGGACACATTGTTCTCTTAAACTCCTGATGCATGTATTGCGTAGCTCAAATTTCCTGATTTATCGCTCAAAATACGATGTCAAGRCTGTARAAACAGTTAGAGAAATATAARCAGTAACGTCTGCACTAGAAGATGTCCAATGTAATTTTTGGAATAGGCTGGTCCGCCCAGCTATTCGAGTCGTCTCGCTTTAATAAAAAGAAAACCATCCAAAAGCAKCAAGATAACGACTTACTGCCTAGACCAGAAGTCGATCGCGGTCAACAAAAAAGTCGCGGTTGGATWAAGTATCATCTATRGAGTTAAATATGTGACAAAATCCATCGAACAAAATGTGTCAAATCTGTTGCTCAAATTTGKTATTCAAAATGTCGAATTAGTCAAATGATAGTCATCTCTGTCAAACAAACTGTCAAATCCGTCAATCAAAGTTCCAAAGWAATCAAATGCAAACTCAATGTCATCAAASGAATCGAAATTGTATGCGGACTCATCAAAGGAGCARGAAGCCATCGAACGAAAACCCATCGAACSAAAACCCATCKTACGAAAACCCATCGTTCGTGCACCCGGTTCKACCGAAATGGCGGAACGTTCACAAGTGACGCGTCTCTTAAATGAAGTACTAAGCATTCTTAACCAAACAGACCAAACRTCTACCAGTAATAGCGCAACAACCACAGTGACTGCAACCGTGCCTACCACTACAGGGTTTACATCTACACCTTCTCGAGCTGTAGAAAACTTCAAGTAAGTGAAGTAAGCTCAACTTAATAGTGGGTTGCCTTAGCGATATTTATGTGCACTTTGGCGTACAGGCACCAAACTTGGCACAGATGTTCCTTGGAGCAACCCAAGCGATTTCAGAAAGGATGCCAAAAATTCGGAACTTAGGGGGAAGGGGAGGGGCAGTTTTGTCACGAACGCTTAATATGCCTTATTTGTCGCCCCTTACTCGGCAAAAATTGACATAAAATGGTAACAAAATGATAAACAAAGATATATAAGGCATCTTATAGAAAAAGTTCTTTATTACAATTTCATGTACGTTTCAGCACATAAATGCAACTCAACGATAGCTTGCGAGAAAAGGTGAAAGGCGAGTTGCGAATCCAAGACGATGAGTAGCGTAGTAAGAGTAGTCKTTTTCCGTCAATTTTTACGGCCAATATCTATCCTGTAATCTTATGGCCAAGAATATCGTGCTAGTTATTATTSCAAAGCTATAAAGCTTAGGAA